ACACACGCTCCCCTGTGATGCTGCCAGTGGAAGGACTCAGGGTGTGCCCTTCCCGCTCAGTTCTAAATCTCCCAGTACCAGCATTTCCTGGGTTTTTTTTTTTGAGAGTCTTGCACTGTCGCCCAGGCTGGAGTGCAGTGGTGCAATCTCGGCTAGCTGCAACCTCCGCCTCCCGGGTTCAAGCGATTCTCTGCCTCAGCCTCCCGAGTAGCTGAGAGTATAGGCGCCCGCCACCATGCCCGGCTAATTTTTTGTATTTTTAGTAGAGACGGGGTTTTACAATGCTGGCCAGGCTGGTCTCCAGCTCCTGACCTCAGGTGATCTGCCTGCCTCAGCCTCCCAAAGTGCTGGGATTACAGGCGTGAGCCACTGCGCCCGGCCCCCAGTACCAACATTTCTAAAAAAGCAAAAGGAAATGGTAATATTTGTTTTAACATCTTTATTTTAATTTAAAATTTTTTGTACTGATTTAATTTCACTTAACCGTTAATCGTTTTTAGAGACGGGGTCTCACTCTGTCATCTGGGCTGGAGTGCGGTGCTGCGATCTCAGCTCCCTGCAGCCTCAACCTCCTGGCCTCAAGTGTTCCTCCTGCCTTGGCCTCCCAGTGCTGGGATTACAGGAGTGAGCCACCATGCCTGGCCAGCAATCTATTTTATTTAAACAAATACATCCAAAATATTATCTCGACATATATAATCAACAAAAAATACCATTGATGAAATATTGACATTTTATGAAGAAATTTTTTATCTCACGAAATCTTCACAGTCCGGCATGAGCTTTGCACTCACAGCATTTGAGAATGGAACTGGCCATGTTCCAAGGGCTGGGTGGTCACAGGGACTGCCTCAGAGGGCAGCCAGGCCAGAGGCCCCGCAGAGGAGATACAGAGGAGGCCCAGGCCACCTGAGTCCAGGCTAAGACAGCACAGGGGCAGGTCTCTGGCAGCCTGGACAAGCTCCAGGATATGGTGGGGAGGAGACTGGACCCTGGGGACCTCAGAGAGCAGAGCAGGGAAGCAGGAGGCCCACCAAGGAAGAGCTGGAGATGGGGACCCCGTCCAGCCTCACGTGACTCCCACTTCCTCTTGGAAGGCGCGGGGGTCTCTCTGGAGGTTAAGTTCTCATTCAGATCTTTTCAGGGAAACTTTCCAGCATGTTGTCTTAGGCCAGATGCCACAGAACTCACCTTGCTCTGCTCAGATTGCACCCCTGTCCACGGGCACTGAGGCAGGAAGGAGGAAGTGCTGTAATCTCAGGAAGCTCTTGGCCCATGGGGCCCAGGCCCTACGGGTGTGGCCCTGAGTCCAGGAAACCCCCTTGCCCCTCATGTCCCCTCGATCTCTGTGGCATCTTTTAAAACAACAGGGCCCAGGAAGGAAGAAGGAGGGGGTCACAAATGTCGGCCCTGAGCACTGAGGCTGCCCCCACAGGTGCTGGAACCTTCTGTGTGGCTCCAGGCAGCCTCCTCTTCAGTCAGCGCCCCCAGCGTCCCGTGCCTGGGCCTGGAGGGCTGCTTTGGGGCAGGCAGCACTGGCCGCTGGGCCTCTGACCTGCACCAGGAGACACTTGGAGGTTTCTGCCTCCGAACCCACATAGAGCAGAACGGCAGCCCGGGAAAGGGAAGATTTCCTCACTGGAGGCCTGTGAACGGTGAGGGCTTGAGAAGCCTGGAGTGTGCAGGCCCCATCCTGGCCAAGGCAGTGAGGTCCTGGCTCTGGGCGTAAGAGGAGGGACTCTCAGGCCTACTAAAGTTCACAGAGGCCTCTGACCCCTATGAAAGGAAGTTGGGGTCATGTGGCACTTGTCCTGATGGGCCCCTGGATGGAAGGCCCCTGACCCCACAGTGCTTCACCTGCACTGAATGTATAACCTCACGTTCAGAAATGCGTTATCTCCCCCAGACCTGACACAAATTCTCGAATATCCAAACAGCAGGAAACAAGAACTTCTAAGAAGGCACAAGCCCTGAGTCCGGGGGGCAAGACTCTGACACGACGGCAAAGACCTGAAAGGGACCGGCCCAGCTTCCGAAGTCACTCCACAGATGGCCACATCAGCGGTCACGAGCCACACTTGCCAAGCCTGCTTCACTCACAGACAGCAGCCTCCCCGAAACCTGACACGTGGTCAAGGAGGAGAAGGTGTGAACTCAACCGTGATCCACATCCGAAGCGAGGCCTCTGTGCCCGACCACGTCGTCTGGTCCCTGTTCAACACCCTCTTCATGAACTCCTGTTCCGTGAAGGTGCGTGCGGCCCCAGGGAAGTCCAGGGGGTGCCGGGGAGCCTGGAGCTCCACCTGCCCAGGTGCCGCCTGGGGTGGTGAGTGTGAGTTTTTGTGCACCTCTGTCCTGTGTGTGCCCACGTCTGTAGCTTTGTCTGAGTGACCTGTGTGTGTGTGGCCTGGGGAATCTGCCCAGTGCAGGTCTAGGAGGAGGCTCTGGCTCAGAGTTAGTCTCCCGATCCAGCAGCCCAGAGCAAAGCTCCCTATAACCCAGTGCCAGAAATGACACCCTCACCTTCCAGACTGGCACCCAGGCTCCCCCAGAAAGTGAGAGGGAACTCGAAGGTGACTTCCCCCCATGGTGGGGAGAACAGCCTGTGCTGGGGCCAAGGCAGAGGGAGGCTGAGCCCCGAGGCTCCTGGAGAATCTGAGGCTGGGTGAGGAAGGAGAGGGGTGTTCCCTGATCTCAGGGCAGGTAGGAGCCTGGGGGGAGCCTGAGCCATAGCACAGGTGGCTCCTACCTGAGGGCTCCTGGTCCCCTCACTGTCTCCTCTGCCCCAGTCTAGGGACAGGAAGATGGTTGGTGACCTGACCGGGGCCCAGGCTTACGCCTCCACCGCCAAGTGCCTGAACATCTGGGCGCTGATCGTGGGCATCTTTGTACCACTGCACCCATCGACCTGTCACCAGTAGTTCTGTGGTAAAATCCCGAGCAATTTCTCAGATGATGAAGAATCTCCAAGGCCAGGTACTCGCCATCTGCTGCTGCTCCTGACCCCTTAACCCAAATCCTGTATCAGGTCTTTATCCTTACACTTTTCTACAATGGCAGTGCCTGGACCAGACATTTTTAAATTTTTCTTTCTTCTTTATTTATTTTTTTTGAGACAGAGTATTCCTCTTGCCGCCCAGGCTGGAGTGCAACGGCGTGAACTCAGCTCACCACAACCTCTGCCTCACAGGTTCAAGTGATTCTCCTGCCTCAGCCTCCCAAGCAGCTGGGATTACAGGCATGCGCCACCGCACCCGGCTAATTTTTTTCTGTTTTTAGTAGAGATGGGATTTCTCAAAGTTGTCAGGCTGGTCTCGAACTCCCAAACTCAGGTGATCTGCCAGCCTGGCCAACATGGTGAAACCCCATCTCTACTAAAAATACAAAAATTAGCTGGGTGTGGTGGCGCGCGCCTGTGATCCCAGCTACTTGGGAGGCTGAGGCAGGAGAATTGCTTGAAACCAAGAGATGGACGTTGCAGTGAGCCAAGATTGCGCCATTGCACTCCAGCCCGGGCAACAGAGTGAGACTCTGTCTCAAAAAATAAATAAATAGGCCGGGCACGGTGACTCACTCCCGTAATCCCAGCACTTTGGGAGGCTGAGGCAGGTGGATCACGAGACAGAGACCATCCTGGCCAACATGGTGAAAGTGAAACCCTGTCTCTACTAAAAGTACAGAAATTAGCTGGGCTTGGTGACACACACCTGTGGTCCCAGCTACTTTGGAAGCTGAGGAAGGAGAATCACTTGAACCCAGGAGGCAGAGGTTGGAGGCTGCAGTGAGCCGTGATCAGGCCACTGCACTCCAGCCTGGCAACGGGGCGAGACTCTGTCTCAAAAATAAATAAATAAAAATAAAATAAGTAAATAAATGCAAACAAAAATCCGCGTTGACTATTATTAAGGCATGTCTAACATTACCAGTAACTGTAAAGCTAGCTTATTAAAGACTGAAGTCACATGAATGTGAAAAGCACTTGGGTTTATTATTTAATTTATGAGTACTCTTTAAGTTCAGGCCACATTTGGTGACTCGTGGCCAAAAGCACACAATGAAACACGTGTCCGTACACAAACACACACACACAGATACACACGCAAGCAAAAGTACAGCTTTGCCTTCAGAACTCCAGCCGTGAGATGCTCATACGAATTCATCGATTCACACAGACAGTGAAAAGACATGGCTGGATGCAAACAGTGGATTTTATCCCTGTAGAGAAGTAGCTGCAGACTTAGAGCAGGAAGAACAGAAAGCAGAAAGAGAGCTCAGGGACCTGATACGAAGAACTGCAGGTCCACCTTCAGGCTCCGATTTTCCCTTTAGGTTCCTTCTGCCCGAGGGCTCCCTCCCCACGCAGCAGATAATTCTCTGCCAAACCTCCAGGTCCCTTCTGCATGGCCAGGACTCAACGCCTAAGTCATCCAGTACTCACCCCAACCAAACACACGGGCAATGCTGGGACCCACAGGGAGGAAGTGCCCGGGGCTCTGAAGCTGCCCCCACAGGCCCTGGAATCCTCCCGTGTCCCACCACAGCCCCGTCTTCAGTCAGGGCTCCCAGAGTCCCCACTCCTGGGCCTGGAGGGCTGCTTTGCGAGCCCAACATGGGCGACCAGGCCTCTGACCTGCACCAGGAGACACCGGGAGGTTTAGCCTCCAAACCCATATAGAGCAGGACTGCAGCCCCAGGAAAGGGCAAGGGAGTTCAGGAGATGAGGCCTGTGACAAGTGAGGTGAGGGCTCTGGGGGGATTGTTCCAGGACCTGGAGTGGGGGCCTGGCAGGGGCCCTGAACTGGGACACTGAGACCTGCACTTTCTAGCCTGGGGTGGAGAGAACCCGAGCCTGGGTAAAATCCCCAGGGCCCCCCAAACCCAAGACTTAGGAAGTGACCAGTCCTGAGTTGAGTTTCTGATGAGGAAGCCCCTCCTTAACCCTCAGCCTTCCCTCCCACTCTGCCATGAAGTAATTTGATCCTGGGTCCCTGGCTAATTCACCAATTCATAAACAGCAGGAAATAGAAACTTACAAGAGATACACGCTTCTGAGAAACAGAAACTACAGAGGAAAAAACCCACTGAGCACCGTCCCAGTGACGGAATACCACAGCTGCCCTTGACTCCACACCGAAAACCACACTTCTCAAACCTTCACTCAATACTTCCTTCTCCAAAGCCAGAAGATGCTCAAAGAGGAGCACGAGGTGGCAGTGCTGGGGGGGCCCCACAGCAGCATGCTCCCCACGTCCACCGTGATCAACATCCAGAGTGAGACCTCCGTGCCCGACCACGTCGTCTGGTCCCTGTTCAACACCCTCTTCATGAACTGGTGTTGCCTGGGCTTCATAGCGTTCGCCTACTCCGTGAAGGTGCGTGTGGCCCCGGGGAAGTCCAGGGGGTGCCGGGGAGCCTGGAGCTCCACCTGCCCAGGTGCCACCTGGGGTGGGGCTTGTGTGTCCCCGTGAGTGTGAGTTTGTGTGCACCTCTGTCCTGTGTGTGCCCACGTCTGTAGCTTTGTCTGAGTGACCTGTGTGTGTGTGGCCTGGGGAAGCTGCCCAGTGCAGGTCTAGGAGGAGGCTCCAGGAGGCCGGCTGGCTCAGAGTTAGTCTCCCGATCCAGCAGCCCAGAGCAAAGCTCCCTATAACCCAGTGCCAGAAATGACACCCTCACCTTCCAGACTGGCACCCAGGCTGCCCCAGAAAGTGAGAGGGAACTCGCAGGTGACTTCCCCCCATGGTGGAGAGAACAGCCTGTGCTGGGGCCAAGGCAGAGGGAGGCTGAGCCCCGAGGCTCCTGGAGAATCTGAGGCTGGGTGAGGAAGGGGAGGGGTGTTCCCTGATCTCAGGGCAGGTAGGAGCCTGGGGGGAGCTTGAGCCATAGCACAGGTCGCTCCTATCTGAGGGCTCCTGGTCCCCTCACCGTCTCCTCCACCCCAGTCTAGGGACAGAAAGATGGTTGGCGACCTGACCGGGGCCCAGGCCTACGCCTCCACCGCCAAGTGCCTGAACATCTGGGCCCTGATCGTGGGCATCATCATGACCATTGGATTCATCCTGTTACTGGTGTTTGGCTCTGTGATCGTGTACCACGCTGTGTCACAGATCTTACAGAACCAAAGAGTTCACTTGTAGCTGCCCACCGCCTGCCACCCTTGTACTCCACCACTTGCTGCCCTTGCACCTACCTTGCAGCAAGGGGTTTCGGGTCCTGCTCCCTGGGTCCCGCCCCCAGATGTAGCTGTGTACCTTCACACACCTGTCTGCGATGGCGCTTAATAAAGTCTGCGATGGCGCTTAATAAAGTCTGCGATGGCATGTGCCTGTGATGACGCTTTCACTTCACCTGAGAGGGGCCCTGCCCGAGTCCCCAGCCTGGTCCTGAGACTGAGCCCACCTGCACAGCCAAATCCCTCCTCTGCAAAGCTTTCCCGGGAGACGGCGCCTGCTCAGCCTTAGCTGGTTTCTGGCCTGCTGCTGAGGGCAGCAGCTGGACCAGGACCACAGGGTGGAGATTCCTCTGACACCAAGGTAAGGACACACTGTGTCCAGAACACCTTTGGGCCGAGACAACCCTGCCTGCCTCTGAGCTGGCTGGAGCGCTGGTCTTGCACATGTGGGCGGCTCGGGCCCTGTGGGAGGACCGGGCTTTGTGCCTAGGGCAGCAGCTGAAGGAGGCGGCCTGCAGCCTTTCCTGGGTCATCAGGCTGCTGAGTCCTGGCCCTGCCTCCTCCAGTCCAGCGGGCATCTTCCCTGCTCCCCTGGGGTGAGGGCAGCCATTGACCTGAGGGTGGGCAGGGCCCTCCAGGACGGCCTGACTGCAGAGGCCAGTGAGACCCAGTGACTTCTCCACCGAGTCGACAGAAACTCTGAAGTCGGAGCCCACCAGGCCGGGCCCTCCCCCTCTCCCCGACAGGGGGTCCCGGGGCCAGAGCAGCGCCTCCCAGCACACGGTGGCGGCGGCGCCTCCTCCCTCGCGGGATCGCGGCTCTCAGGCTTCCAGCAGTGGGACCGACCTGCCTGGGGACCGACCCCTAACTGCCCCACCCCCTCCTCCGCCCCCGCTGCGGCGCCCTGGCTCCGGGGGCCCGGTCCTCTTGGGGGTCCCCGCGGGGTACCATGGACGCGCGTGGGGGCGCGTGCTCTCCACGGGGTTCCGCTTTCGTGAGCTTGACCAGGGACGAGGCGGGCTCAGGGGTCCCGGGGATAGAGCGGCGGGGAAAGGAACTCGCCCCGAGGCAGGGAGGCCGGCGGGCGGGGGGCGCAGCCGGGGGTCGGGAGGAGGCGCCAGGCCCAGGCGCGGGGGGCGCGGGACGAGGCTCCCGCCAGGTGGAGGCCCCCGCGGGGCAGCCCGGGACCCGCGAACCCGCAGAGTCGAAACGCGCAACACGAAGGCGGAGATGCGGGGTGCGCTGCGGTCCCGGCCCCAGCGCGGTTCCCACGCGGCCCCCCAGATCCCGGTTCCCACCCGCGGGGCCCAGGCTGCCGTCGGGGGCGGGGGCGGGAGAGGCCCGAGCCCGAGTCTCTCCCCAGCAGCTCTGGGAGGCCGAGCGGGACTCCGGGGTCCCTGCGGGCGGCGGCCCCCGCCGGGCCTCTCCTCCTCCAGGGGGGACTGGGACGGGGCGGCGCGGAGCCCAGGGGTGCAGGCGTCAGGGGCCTCACGTGTCCCCCCGCGCGTCGAGGTGAAGAAAGGGTTTGGGAGCCGGGGTGGCCCCGAGACGAGATCGCGACCCCGCACTCCAGCCCGGGCGGCAGAGCAAGACTCCGTTTCAAAAAACGAAAAGGTTGAACAGACTCGATGGCCGCACCGCGCGGGGGACGGACTTCGTGCTCAGGTGACCTCGTCCAACGCTCCTGGGTAGGGTTTTTTCAAGGGTAGTTTGGGGCAGGCGCGGGGCTCTGATCGTTTGGGGCGGAGATGAAGGCGCTGGGGGTCGACACTGTCCTCCTGAGCTGAGTCGCTTCTCCCTGGAGGGACCACAGGAGCTGACGGGTCCAGGGGGAGCCATGGGTGTCAGGCTCGCAAAAAAGGGGGGAATCTCAAAAGGCTGATCTTAAACTCCATAATCAAGTCAAAAAGAGTCAAACTCTGTAAGGTATTTGAAGAGGTTTCTTCTGAACCAATCAGGAGAGCCCATGGCCGGTGACACAGCCCTGGGGACATGCCCAGGGTGGTCAGGGCGTAGCTTGGTTTTACACATTTTAGGGAGACATAAATCAAATACATTCCAGAAAGACACTGGGCCCCGGGGTGCTGACTCACGGCTGTAATCCCAGTACTTTGCGAAGCCGAGGCAGCAGATCATGAGGTCAAGAGTTCGAGACCATCCTGGCCAACATAGTGAAACCTCGTCTGTACTAAAAATACAAAATTAGCTGTGCGTGGTGACGGGCACCTGTAATCCCAGCTACTTGGGAGGCTGAGGCAGGGGAATCGCTTGAACCTGGGAGGCAGAGGTTGCAGTGAGCCGAGATCGTGTCATTGCACTCCAGCTTGGCGACAGAGTGAGACTCTATCAAAAAAAAGAGAAAAAGAAGAAGAAGAAGAAGAAAAAAGAAATATAGATAGAAAAAGAAGGAAAACATTAGTTTGGTCCAGAAAGGCAGGACAACGCGAAGCAGTGGGGGATGGGGGGGAGGTTGGTGTTCCAGGATATGGGTGAATTTAAACATTTTCTGGTTGACGATTGGTTGAGTTTGTCTAAAGGCCTGGGATTGATAGAAAGGGACTGTTGAGGTTAAGATGTGGAGACCAGGGCCAGGCGTGGTGGCTCATGCCTGTAATCCTAGCACTTTGGGAGGCCAAGGTAGGTGGATCACCTGAGGTCAGGAGTTCAAGACCAGCCTGACCAACATGGTGAAACCCCATCTTACAAAAAAAGAAAAAGATGTGGAGACCAAAGTTCTTTTGAAGTCTGACAGTGCCTGTCCTGGGACAATAGGTGAGAAAGGGTTCCTATTCAGTCCTTAGCTAATCTCTTCAGGATTGGGAGGGTCTGAAAGAAAAAGAATCTACCTATGTTAACAGAGATTCTTTACAGATGCAGATTTCCCCCGCAAAGAACAGCTTTGTAGGGCCATTTCAAATATAGCAAAGAAACTTGCTTTGGGGTAAAATATTTTTATTTTCTTCCTCCGATTGTGATGTTATGCCAGGGTCAGGTTGGAAAACCAGTCTTGATATATACGGTTAAATAAAACCCATCTGAGGAGAATTTGGGGGGCATGACTCCCTTAGATGGGAATCTGGGGAAGATGAAAAATCAGAGTTTAGTCCTCAATCATGATGAACTGCTGAACTTTGAACAAGGCCTGTTGTCTTTTGTTTTTTTTTTTTGAGATGGAGTTTCGCTCTTGTTACCCAGGCTGGAGTGCAATGGTGCGATCTCGGCTCACCGCAACCTCCGCCTCCCGGGTTCAGGCAATTCTCCCGCCTCAGCCTCCTGAGTAGCTGGGATTACAGGCACGCGCCACCATGCCCAGCTAATTTTTTGTATTTTTAGTAGAGACGGGGTTTCACCATGTTGACCAGGATGGTCTCGATCTCTTGATCTCATGATCCACCTGCCTCGCCTCCCAAAGTGCTGGGATTACAGGCTTGAGCCGCCGCGCCCGGCTGCCTGTTGTCATTTAAACAATGGCCTAAATGTCTCTCTAGATCAGCTTGGCCCAAAAGACCAGGAGAAAGCCAGGCAGTTCCTGGGCCGCCTGAAGCCCAGCCACACATCTCGGACCCTCATCTTGTCCCGAGGTGCTGGGGTGGGTCACCAGCCCATTCTCATGTTTACAGGGGTTGGGGGTGCAGAGGGGGTCTGTGAATTTGAGTGTCACTCGGGTGACCTCCCGCAGGGAGCCTTCTGCCACCAGCCCCTCCCCAGACTCTCAGGTGGAGGCAACAAGGCCGTGTGCTGCCCTGTCGCCAAGCCCAGCTGTGGGCGGCTCCTGGTGCTAACAGCAAAGCCCCACACCCAGGCCTGCCTGGTTCCCTCCCAAAGGCCACAGGGAGCCCAGTCAGCTTCTCCCAAGCCCAGGTCAGGCCTGGCCTCATCTCAGACCCTGCTTAGGATGGGGGTGCGTGGCCAGGGGTGCCTCTGTGCTCAACCCCTCTTGGGGCATTTTTTTGGGAAGAGTAAAATTGCCTTTCTCTTAAAAAAAAAAAAAAAAGACCAGGAATAATTAAGGGAAAGGCAAGGTGGGGGGGGAGGGGGGAGGTTGGCTTGGGGGGAGGGGGGAGGTTACCTGGGGGGGAGGGGTGGGTTAGCTGGGGGGAGGGGAGAGGTTACCTGGGGGGAGGTGGTGGGTTAGCTGCGGGGGAGGGGAGAGGTTACCTGGGGGGAGGGGGTGGGTTAGCTGTGGGGGAAGGGGGAGGTTACCTGGCGGGAGGGGGTGGGTTAGCTGCCGGGGGAAGGGGGAGGTTACCTGGGGGGAGGGGGTGGGTTAGCTGCCGGGGGAAGGGGGAGGTTACCTGGGGGGGAGGGGGTGGGTTAGCTGTGGGGGAGGGGGTGGGTTAGCTCAGCTCACAGTTAACGATAATTCTCACTGATCTGTCACTGTAGGTAGCTCCTCAGGCTTGAGCAGGAAGGAGAGCCCTTCCCACCCCAATCGGGAATGTCCAGCAACCCCTGGGGTGGGGATCAGATGGGTGTTGCTGTTTCTCTAACATAATAATTGGTAGCAACCAACACCAGGGAAAGGCAGTCTCTGAACAGATTAAAACCCTGAAACGGATTGTAAGGTCGCCCGCACTGTGGCAGCATGGCGACCCCAGGACCGACACACACACCTCTGGAGGGCCTTCTGGAATCACAAAAGCTGCAGTAGCCGGAAGGAAGACCCTGTGGCACCCCACGAACCTGAGCCGTTCTTCTGTTGTTTCTTTCCTGCCCCGGTTGACAAGGCCATTGGACTGTGTAACTGACCTGGGCCCAGCCTCCTGACTCCACACCCTGCGACCCCTCCCAGCTTGTAGTAAACGACCCTAAAGTAACGTCTGTAGCTTCCACCGCCCACCCCAAACCTATAAAACTAACTCCTCTCCGACCGCCCTTCGCTAACTCCCTTTTCAGCCTTAGCCCACCTGCACCCAGGTGAATAAATGGCCTCACAAAGCCTGTTTGGGGGTCTCTTCATTCAAAGCGCGTGTCTTAACGGTGCTGAAATCTCAGGAGTTGGGTGAGTGGGCTCCAGTGTGCGCAGTAAGAGGCAGAGTGGCGGAGTCTAACTGATGTCAGACCTTCCAGGAGCATTCAGCTGCCGAGGGAAGAACGCCTCAAGGGACTGTTGGGTCCCCCAGAGATGGCAGCCCTGTTGTCAAGCCA